AAATTACTTTATATTGTTATTACTATTATTATTGTTTTTCTTTTTGGGAATTTGAGTAACATTCTAAGAAGCTAAAAATAACAATACTTAGCAACCTTTTTTTTTAATAAATGTCTTCCTTCGTTTTGCTAAATTCAGCCATGTGAAATCTAACTGCATCTTCATAAAATCTTGGGATCCCTTCCCACTTGTAATGTAAAGCACTGATGCAGTAAAAAAATGATTGAATTTAAGAGAAAAGCAATGAAATGTGTAGACATATAAGGAAGACATGGCATGAGTTTATATTATTCTCCCAGGGGGTTTCTCCAGCAGTTAAGTTCTCACATGACAACTCTTCCTTGTCTCATCCTTGTTAACTCCAAAATGATCACAGTTCTAAGCATCCACTGGGCAGAAGCAACTGAGGCCAGAGTGAGTTTATGTTGAGGTTGAGCCAGGAGACAAGAGGCATCCCCGAACAGCCACACTGGCCTGCTAGGGTCCTGAGGATCCAGTACTTGCTCCCCATTTCAAGCTGTTTCTGTAAGAAGACAGTTTTCTTCCTTTAAGCCAATGCCATAGTTGCTGCCACCATTTTGTATCCTGAAGACAGTGGTAGACCAGAAAACCAAGTCTTAATCTATTCTTTTTATGGCTTTAGGAAAAGAATTTTTTGTAGCTTGCTTAGGATATGTCTCTTGATTTGGTTTAGTTTGTTTTTGGATTGTTAGAGTTTCAACTTTAACATGCACATGGTTAGGACTAGGGTGGCTGACACCCTGGGCCATGCAATGTGGGATCTGCACGTGATAATTCTTGAGTTCTGCTGAGAGTCAATGAGCACCTCCTTAAATGTTGCACTCTAGACACCTCACTTGCCCCCTTTCCCAGACCCTTCTCTCACTCTGTGTCATAATTTCCTGCCTGCCTAAAACAACTGTGAATTCAATGGGATTTTGAGGTATACTAGATTCTTACAGTTTTTGTGGTATTGAAAGTGTCTTTGAATGGCCTTATTTTTGGACATGGTTCTACCAATCAGTCAACACCTATTAGGGAAATCTTTGGAGTATCTGAATGTTGTGGGTGGGGGAATGCATTAGTGTATGTGTAGTGTCTGCCTTATAAACCAGAGGAGGAAGTAAAAGTGACGAGATGAGACTATTAGAGAACACTGCTGAGCCAGGTAGTACTGACTTCAGGAGTTGTTGGGTGAAGGGAGAGCTGTGTGAGTTGAGGCAGCAGAGTGACTGAACTGGCCCCTACAAGCCAAGGCTTGTAGGTGGAAGAATGAAAGGAGGGCCTTCCAAGACAAGTGGCAGGGGCCCCAGGACAGGATGCATAGGTGTGGAACCGTGAGGAAATAAATTTGGCTAGAGAAAGAGGAGGGTGTGGAAGAATAAGGGGAAAATTGGGCACAGAAAATCAGATTATAGGAAGTCCTAAAAACCATGCCACAGAGACCATTGTGAACCTCTGAATGAGACTGACTAAAGGTAATGTTTTAAGCAAGTTAATATACGATGGTGCTTGCAACAGATTGGAAATGAGTTCCAAGCATTCAGAAGAGAGGTGAACGAATGTAGTGATGACAGAAATGAAGATGAAAGGTCAAACTTGATTGACATTTTGAAGGAAAAGAAATTTTAATTACTTAATTTATCGTATAAATTAAGTAATTGTGTGATGTAATAAAAGAATTAGACAACAAAGACTCAGATTATTTTAGAACATTTTAGAAAAGGGAGTGGGTAATGATAATTTGCATACAGAGTGATAGATAGGGAAGATCACAAATGGCTGCAAGGTTTGTAGCTAGAGACATGGGAAATCCATGCATTACAGACAGAAATGGGAGTGATTATGAATGAACATCTTTGAGGAAGAAAGCTGGTAACATATATTTTAGACAAAAGTGTATGTTAAAAAACACCTAAATGGAGCTGTTTTGCATTGGAAACATGGAATGAAATGTAGGTGAAAATTCAGGGCTTTGCATGTGCATTTGGGCTTCACCTATAGAGAGACTGATTGAAATCAAGAAAATGAATATGTAGATGAGTTCACTGAGACAATGAAAGGATTTAGGGAGAGCAGAGCAGGGGCCTGGGACTTAGCTTGGCACCAGTAATGAGCAGGAGGGAGGTAATAGCTAAGGGGTAAAAGGGAGAACCGGGAAAGTTCGGTGTGGAAAAGTCTAAGGGAGGATTTTAAGAAGGAAAGCAAAATGCCACCAAGAAGTCAAAGAGATCCAGATTGAGAAAAGACTAGGGCAAGGACATTGAAGACATGGTTTCAGTGAAAGGGCAGGATGGGAGTGGGGCAGAAGATGGATCATAAATACTCAAGAATATATAAGAAGTAGATAGAAGATTGTGGTTAGTGGTGGGCAGGGTGATAGCTAGATCTAGAGAAAACTTCTTTTCTAGGAACAGAAAAACTTAGGCAGACCTGAAAGTAGAAAAGAAGACTCCTGTATTCAGAAAGATTTAAAGGTGCTAGAGAATGAGGGGAAATTGGGAGAACACATTTCATCAGGAGGCAGAAGGAATATGGGGGCTAGCTGTAGAGAAAACGAAGAGCTGTTTTCCTGAACCTCTGCAGAATGATAAAGGGCAATGATAAATAGGAGGGAGGCTTTTCCATGAGGCACATGGTAGAGGGACTGGGATTTCAGGGGGAAAGGAAAGGAAAGAGCACTCACTGTTTGGCTTTAATCACTATGCACTGAAACCCTCTAGTCTTCAGTTGTTTCATCTGTAAAGTGAGGAGTCTGGACTAGACGATATCTAAAGATAGCTCAGATAGATATGTTATGATTCTAGTGAGCTCTGACAGTGTTGACCATATCTGATATTTAAGACTAACTGCTGATGGCATTTATATTCAATTGTAGGATTATATATAATGAATGATGATATGCTAGAGCCATATCATTAACTATCAGTGTCTACTTAACAAAACATTTGTCAGATTTAAAGTGTTTAATAGAACCAATCAGAATAAAGTAGGAAACCACTCAGTAATCTGACCTTTTTCCATCCCTATCACCAAATCCACTTCTCTCCTGGAAGATTATGTATAAATGCTACAAACAGTTGATTGGAGTGTTTGTCCCTGTTTTTATTTATAGTTTGGACAGTCAGAATTCATGCGTATGGAATGGGGTTTCCCTCCCCATTGCTGCTTAGGATAGAATGCTGCTCATACAGTCCAGGTGGAAGATGGAGAAGCCTTCTGAGACAAGGTCCCATGTGAATCTTCAAACCTGGAATGTGTGGTTGGTGCAGAAGTGGAGCAAGTAGGCGAGGAACAGGGCATAAAATATTACAAAAGTAGAATATTCTAGAATTTGTACTCCTCCGTGTTTCAAGGTAGAACCAGAATATATGAGATAATGTATATGAAAGGAGCTGGGGAGTGACAACATGCAGTAAACACAGAGCATTTTGTAGAGTCATATAAGCTCTGGACCAAGACTTAATTTTGACTTAGCTTTGAGTCCCAGGTCTGCCACTTTCTGGTATGCGCTTCATTTTCTCATCTGTAAACAAATATAATAATAATGTCTACCTTACTAAGAGGGTTGAATAATATTTAGACAGCCCTCGAATAGTGAGCACTGGCAGTTGGCAGGCCCTCCTTGGCTCTGGCAACCACTAGTTTAATTCTTTCACCAAATTAACCAGTGATTTCCTGAGTCTGAATTTACCATTTCTGTTCACTAGTTCTGGGTAGTGAATTTAGCTGTGGACTCCCTACTCCAGACACTGCTCAGAATTTAGCATGCCAGAGAACAAGGGCTCTCACAGCTCTTTTAATCAGACATTGTCAGACAAAAGAGGCAATTGATGCACCATTCACAATGTTTTTAAACCTATATAAAGAGTCATTGATTCAGAACAGTTGCTGTGCTTGTGAAAATGTGTTTGATGGTTTCCATGGAGACCACCCTGCTGGCTGTTCTGCAGTCACTAGTCTTAATTATATTCTGGGATTGCCAGGGAGGCTTCAAAGCTGTCTCCATAACAACACTTCCTTGTGTAACACTACCGCTGTCTTAAACTGTTTCCCATGCAGGAGTTTCTCATAAAAGTCAGGAAGATTCTGCTTGTGAGTTTCAACTTCTGTTTGATTTATTCTTTGAAGAACTCTTAACAATAGGAATTTTTCTAAGTTTTGACTGCCTTTCTTTCAGGCTGTTTTGCCAGGTCTTTGGAGCATGGCCTAATGTTTTTCTTTTTTCAGTGACATGTTGACATTTCTCTTAAGCTATTGCCAAGATATTGAACTAAGGAGGAGCCTTGCCTATGTTGGTTTACTAGATAATATTAACCCTGTCTAAGTATAGGATGAAAACGCTGTCAACAGATACTGTTAGGGTTTGATGTTTGGAATTTTTAAATGTCTCCAAGACCATTAGTAAAACTTGCTGTTTCTGGTGGAATTACAAAAAAAAAAAAAAAACAAAAAACAAAAAACAAAAAACAAAAAACAGAAAAAGAAGCAGCAACTTAGTGTCTTTTTAATATGGAATCCCAGATTTCATGACTTCTAAATAAACATAATTTCTTACTCTCCACCTGATTTTTTAGATATATTGGTAGGGAAGTTCTAAAGCTTAATGTTTAATCATACCTTGAACTTCTGAGGAGGTTCCGGAATTAGACTTCTTAGGAGGTTTGATTTCTGGCACATGCATACTCTCATACACACACACCCACCCCTCCCTTGTACGCACAAGAACAGACTACTGAAAAATCCTGGAAGTATAGTTACAATACCCACCATGTTTTACTCTCACTAGGTCAAGTCTGTGCTGAACAGAGTGTTAGTTCTCTTCCTTCTACTGCTTACACTGTCACTAATATTATTTTTTCCAGTTTTATTGAGATATAATTAATATATAACATCACATGAGTTTAAATTGTATAACATCATGATTCGATATGTGTGTATATTATGAAGTGATCACCACAATAAGTTTTGTTAACATTCATCATCTTACATAGTTAAAAAAAAGTATGGAACGCTTCACGAATTCGCATGTCATCCTTGCACAGGTCCATGCTAATCTTCTTGGTATCATTCTAGTTTTAGTATATGTGTTGCCGAAGTGAGCACAATTACTTCTTTTTCTTATTGTTATCGTTATTCACATCATCATTGTCACCATTTGTTGGATGGAGAGAGTATGTTTCTGTCTTTCTGTATTTCTCGGATGGTAAAAGTTAGTCACGAGGAAGAGGCTCCTTCTTTTCAGTTCACTACTTGTATTTCTTCCAAGCTCAGCTTCTTAAGACTTGTCACCCTTTCTTCCTGTCACATTTAAAAGCTCATTTGAATATATGTCTTTCTGTGTAGCAGTTTAGTATTCCTTTTATTTTCTTCCTTCAATTGCTGTTCAGCACCTTAATGTATTCTGGAAGTGTCTGATGAAAATAAATTCTTAAATCCAATGAAGCTGTGCTGTAATGTAACTTTTATGTTGAAAGAGTATGCTTTAAAATCTAATTATGCCTGTTTCCTAATTAAATCATTTTTCTTTTTCACAGCCTAAGCGGCTAAGGCAATGAGAATAATTTTTCATGGAAAATTAAGATCTAGAGGCAGCAGCATAATTTCCTTTACAGTCTCTAGCTGGGCAATAATAACAGCATGTCAGTGTCTTTCCATGACATCACCATTGAAGCAACAGGAACATGAAGTGGCAAGTTAGGGAGCTGCTGTTATTGTTGAACTGTATGGAAACAGCACAGAATAATCTGGGAATTATTCATTTGTGGACAAGGTTTTCCCAGAGGGCACATGGAAAGGGAAATACAGTTTGGGATTAAAAAAAAAATTTAAATTCCATTTCCTATTGTCAAAATAATTCATGGGGACATGAGTTATGTTAATGGACATTTTGCTATTTTGGATAAGGTTGTTTTTCTTGTTTCCGATTATGAACTCTTAATTTTTTCTGGGCTATTTTTAGTGCCATTGATCATCACAATGTTCTGTACAAAAAGCAAAAATATGCTAACAATTCTGGGTTTCACAACTTTTGACCTGAATGAATTCGCTTTAGTTTACTTACTAAGGAAATACCCTGAATTTCTGTAAATTTCCTGACTACAAGGTTTTTATGAGTGCTGTTATTATCCAAGATAATTTAAAATAATTAAAGTGGTTTTTGCAACATAAAAGTCCAATTAATTGGGAAGCTTTTACAGGGTCTCCTTTGGAGGATGAGTTGATATGTACTCAGATCACTGTAGTATAGTATTGGATAAATGAGTGCTGAGTAAAATACACTGATCTTACTCTATATACCTCTGCAGGCTTATGCTCTCATGTCAGAAATAGAGAAAGGTGGATCTGCATGCATCTCATAAAGCCTCATGAAATACCTTCAACTGCCTTCAGTAATGCTCTTGTGATGCCCATACTCTTTTCTCTAATTGTGCCATTTGTTCTGTTTGAGTTCACTTTTCCTTATAAAGACCCTCTATCTGTAGCCCTAGAGCTGACTTCCCTTAGGTGCGGCCAGACATAGGCTAATCAGCACCTGTTCATGACCAAACCAGAGGGCAGACCATGGGCGCAACTGAGAGCCCGTGTCATTAGAGGATGAGCTGCCATGGTCCAAGCTAAGAAAATGAAACAGTTTTTGGGAAAACTGAATGAGCAGATTTTTATCATAGGAAGGTTTTGATGCTTAATTGAAAGAAATGACATGTGGATTGGAAAGCCAGTAGATAGTTCCTTGGGGCGAGTTTGTAATCTTAGTGGCCTGATACATCACTGGATCCCTCCCCACACTTGTTCTCCTGTTATATCTTCCAGAGTGGAATTTAAGTATAAATAGTTGTTTGCTCATTTTTACTGTTTAATATTTCTCTTCTCCCTTACAAAAGTTGTCTAAACTTATTTTCCCACTGTTGACTCTACATCGATCCTTTGAACTGACCCAGTTGTTCTTTAGGTTAAGATTTCCAATGTTATTTTGTTTACATATAAGTAGGCTGTGTCTGACTGTAAGGCCAGACAGTTAAGTACAAGCAGGTTGTGCTTGTTTATATGACTCCAAAATAGCCAGTCAGTCAAATATGTGGCAAGAAGTTTTTTAGTCAACAGTGCATTGCCTGGCTCCATGTAGACACAACTAGCTGTTAAATTGCATTTGAAATTTCATTTGATTGTTTCTGTGCTCTTCTGAGAGGTGCTAGGGGGGAGATTTGGTTGGGAACAGGCTCACTTTCTGGCTACATTAATTCTTCATCTGTCTTCTTGTTGCAAGACTTCTGCGGGATGGGGGTGCACAGGGGAGCTGGCCCACAGTCGACTGTCTCCAAGAAGAATTCTATCTTGTTTCTTTCTTGCTTTACTTGAGGCCATTATTCTCTGTTTGGGGCTTTGTGTGTTTTCTTCACAAATTTCTAGGCGTGTCGTTAGGTTTGGCCTGGAATATGGTAGGCGATCAGTCAAGATTTAATAAATAAAATGCCCACCTCCCTCCCTTACCTCCATGTCGAGAGATTTTCACTTCAGAGGAGGATTTTCACTTTTATGGGAAAATCTGTTACCATATTAATATAGGTCCTTTATAAAAGCAAAGTGGCATAAAGTGAACTTTCTGAAAGCGGTGTGTGGGGGGGAGCAATACTCTTTGCTTTATCAGCTTTTGAAAGATTTCATAGGAACACTCTACTTTCAGACAGTGGGGGAAACCTGTATTTAGAAGAGGAAAGAAAGAAAAGAAAAAGAAGAAAAAGTACCAGCCCTAAAGATTGTTGGATAAGACTTCAGTAGGGAAATTGCAGGTTTCAGTATTTACTAGGTTGGTCATAGGACAATGGGGAAGTAAGACAGAAGTGGTATTAAATCTGATATGGAACTGCATACCCACCAAAATGGCTAACATTAAAGAGGCTGACGATACCAAGTGTTGGTGAGGATGTGGAATAACATTTCTAGCTTAGAAAAATACTAGAGCTAAATAAGGTCTCTGTTATGACTGAGCAGTCCCACTCCTGGCATACACCCAAGAGAAATGAAGGCGTATATCCACAATGAGATATGGTCAATATTACAGAATTAGATAGTGGTGATGGTTGCACAACTGTGTGTGAATATATTAAAACTATTGACTTGCACTTTGGGTGAATTTTTTGGTATGTGCATTTAAAAAAACAGTGAGACTGTTCTTTTTAAAAAGACATGTTCAGGAATATCCATGATAGTTGTATTCATAATAGCTGGAAGAAGGAGTCCATATATCAGTCTAGAAGAAATATATTGCGATCTCTCCATACGAGAGAATACTGCACAACCTTGTAGGTGATTCGGAATGGGGGAGTACTGACTAGGAAGGGGCATGAAGGGAGCCCTGTGAGATGCTGGAAGGTTTGGTTATCTGTGTCTAGTGGTGATTACATGGGCATTTATAGATGTCAACGTTCATTGAGCTGTACACTTAAGATTCAAGCTCTTTGTGCACTTGATTTTGTTTACGTTGTATTTCAATTTTAAAAATCTGATGTGGGTGCTGGAATGGTGCTATCCTAAGAAAGCACAGCTCACAGTGCTGACCTCCTCTTCTGTCTACACGGGAAGGCCCCTGTGTCGGGTGCAGCAGCTTCTTCAGCAGACCTCCTCCTGCCTTTGGCTTTGATATTGTCTGTGTACCAAAGGTGGTCTGGGGTATCACTCACTGGGGGAAGGAAGAACCCACTAGCTGGGTGTTGCTATTTGGGTAGTGGCCACCAGTTCTCTTGAATGTCATGGTTGGGGAGAGTTTCTAATAAATATTCAGCTCAGTGCCAGGGTAAAGAAAGTGAGCTCGGGCTTCCTGGTAGCATTGTTGAAGTATTTGCTGTGCCTCTTATGCTCCACAGGTAAGGACCATGCCATGTCAGGTACACTCTTCCTTTAGGGCAGTGGTCCCCAACCCCCTGGCCATGGACCAATACCGATCTGTAGCCTGTTAGGAACCGAGCTGCACAGTAGGAGGCTAGCGGCAGGTGAGCAAGTGAAGCTTCATCTGTATTTGCAGCCACTCCCCGGCGCTAGCATCACAGTCTCAGCTCCACCTAAGATGATCAGGCATTAGATTCTCATAGGGGCACCGGTCCCTGGTGCCACAAAGGTCGAGGACCTCTGTTTAGGGGGCTGGACTAATTAAGAAGACTACCAGGCCTGCCTTGCGGTTTGATTAAATGAATGTTTGCTTACATTGGGCACTCTTCCCTGGTGGACGCTCTCAGGCTTGCCATGTTGGTTTGCCTTCCTCATGCCTCTCAGACTCCTCTTGGCTTTATGGCTTTGGAGCTGGAGGTGGGGCACGTTTTGAACATACTTACCAAGTTGGGACTCCCTCATTACCAGCATGATGAGATGTATGTGAGTGTTAGTGTGTGCTGTGGGTGTAGTGGTGGTGAGGAGAGGTGACTGTATCAGCTTCAGCGTGGAATAAGCGGTCAGATCACTGAGGGCCTAGGAGTAGTGAAGAAGCTAGGCAGGCCTGCAAACTGACTCATACTCCATGTCAGGTGGCATCCCAAAGGCTGTTGGCTCTTGCTGTAGAAAGAGGGCTAAGGGCATTCTTAGCCAGCCCCCTCTGCCCTGTGTAGTGTGAGGGTACCTTCCTGCTCCCTGGCACACAGAAACCCTGCCCTCCCTCCTGTGCTCTTGGCAAAACATAATACGATTTTTATTCCATAGATAGCAACTCATTAACCAATCAGATTTTAGATTCAGATCTACTTAACGCTAATTGAATACCTGATATAAAAATATGAATAATGGTTGCAGCTAACATTGCGTACTCACAAGATGCCAGGCTGTGTGGTTGGTAGTTGGACACATTTCTTATTTAATTCTCATCACAGTTTTGTGTGGTTCAAACTATGTGCTTCTCTTCCCTCCTTAGAAGTGAGGAAATAAAGATGTTACGTAACTTGTCTAAGTTAGAACAAAGGAACTCAGACTTGAGCCCAGGTCTTGACTGCAAAGCCTGCACCCCTGCTGGGGTCTCTTTTGAAAGACACAGTCGTGGTGGGTGTCCTTTGCAGTGTGTGTGACATTTGAGAGACTCAGTCTGATGCGATGTAATGAGCATAATCTCCTAGAGAAGGGTC